TCCGTAGCGACCCCGTAGCGACCCAGTAGCGGCCCAGTGCTCCCACACGAGCTACTGCCCCGCCACTGGGCCGCTACTGGGTCGCTACTGGGTCGCAACCCGTCTCCTGAGTAACTAGTCCAGTTGCTAGGGGGGGGGCCATAACATGTCGTTTGGCTGCCATAGGGGTAGGGATAGACCATGTATGCATGGATTCATAATTTTACATATACACGTCGCCTAGCAGCAGCTACATGCATACGAAATTCCCAAGTCCTGCTATGTAACAAAATTAAGCCATATGCAATGCCTGCTTCAGCTGAAGCAGCTGCAGCTGCAGCTGAAGCAGCTTCCAAACAATCTGCAGCTTCCAAACAGCACCAAACATTTCCACAACGGCGGCTGCTGCAGCTGCAGCTCATCGATCTGTCAACAATTTGCCTCAAAACATGCTACATTATAGCTCAGAAGCGCTCTATCCACCCTAACACTTTCTGGTATTCATGCCTAGAAGTAGTCCTCCATCACCGTCAGTTAACACTCCAAGACAAGTCTGTACAGTGACTGTACAGTGCAGCAGCGCTGCTGCTAGCAGTAGCTTCTCCACAAGCGGCTTGTGAGCCTGTATGCAGCAGCTGCTGCAGCAGAAGCTTCGAAACAGCTCCAAACAGTTTCATATTGGGTGCACCCAGCTGCAGCTCATCCATCTCTCAACAAAATTTGCCTCAAAACATGCTACATCATAGGTCACATGCACTATCCACCCTAACACCTTCTGGTAGTCATGCCTAGTATTAGTCGACTAATAGGACGTCCTCTATCGCTGTTAGTTAACACTACAAGACATTGCTGCAGCAGCAGTCCTCCACAAGCAGCTTGTGAGCCTGTATGCAGCAAAGATCAGGCAGGGGCATACAATAGCACCTTTGTCAGACCATCAAGACACTATGACGACGGGTGATCGCGTTATGTCGCGTTAAATTCGCGTTACGAGGCTTTAACGCGAGTTTAACGCGACGCTAACGCGATGTAACGCGATCTTAAGCACTGATAGCGCACCGGTTCGCTTGTGCGTATGGCCTAACGCACATCAAGCTTTATTCGCATGCGAACGAGCTGAGTAATTTTGGCTGGCAGTGCGTTAGCTTAATGATATCGCAAACTTTACGCGATCGTAAACGCGACCAGGTGACTTTTAACGCGAGCGTTACCTTACCTATAGGTGTAACGCATACGCAAGCGAATGGCATACGCGGCTGCGACTGGTGCTAATGCGTATGCATATGCGAATGTGGCGAATGATATCGCGAGTTTTACGCGACCCTAAACGCGACCAGGTGACTTTTAACGCGAGCGTTACCTTACCTATAGGTGTAACGCATACGCAAGCGAATGGTGCGAATGCGTATGCACATGCGAATGTGGCGAATGATATCGCGAGTTTTACGCGACCCTAAACGCGACCAGGTGACTTTTAACGCGAGCGTTACCTTACCTATAGGTGTAACGCATACGCAAGCGAATGGTGCGAATGCGTATGCACATGCGAATGTGGCGAATGAATTCGCGAGTTTTACGCGACCCTAAACGCGACCAGGTGACTTTTAACGCGAGCGTTACCTTACCTATAGGTGTAACGCATACGCAAGCGAATGGTGCGAATGCGTATGCACATGCGAATGTGGCGAATGAATTCGCGAGTTTTACGCGACCCTAAACGCGACCAGGTGACTTTTAACGCGAGCGTTAGCCTAAGCTATAGGTGCGAATGGCATACGCATGCGAATGGTGCGAATGCGTATGCACATGCGAATTGTGGCGAATGATTCGCGAGTTTGTACGCTACGCGAACGCGACCAACGTGACTTTTAAAGCTAGCAATCGCCAATACGCAAGGGAATTGCAAAGTGCATACGCGCTGCGAATCCTGC